GTCTTTTAAATGTGACAAAAGGTAGAAGGCAATGAATTCTATAAATTACTGTAGTCATTGTAAACGTATGACACAAGTATGAACTAGAAAATATTAAAAGTACTGATTTTATCAAGAACAAATTCCTCACAAACAAATTATCAAAGACCCAGGGATGTGAACTAAGTTCAGTACAAAAATTAAGCAGATGTGTGTGATACATGCTTGTATTTGCTTGCACACTGAACGCAGAAGTCATTATCAGTATCTAAGTTGCTTGGAGGATCATGGCAGACACCTTTTGAGCTGGCAATAGAGGGAACAAAGGATAATGACAAGTAATCATCTCAGTTTAGGTAAGCCCTAGACAGATGTAAATTTTGTTTTTATGTTTCAAAACTTAATTACATGGCCTTCTAGCTGCTACAGTTAAGCAAATGTTTCATAAGAGTGAAATAACGTATAGAGAGAAAACATAAACTATGAATCTAGGAATTTATGACTTTGGTTAGTTATCCAAGGGTTGCACAAAGCATGTCATCTGTACTCATAGTACAGATAATAGAACATAATAGTACTATCTGACTGTTTAAATCTGCAACACCTTCTAATCTTAGTAGAAATCTCAGTAAATATTCCAGTTTTTACCTTGGAGGATTGCCTGCATTCAGATTGTGCCAACAATGAAGAGTTCCACTGGTTTCAGCGCTATTCCATACCAGGAACCAGACTGCATAGATTAATTAAACAGGATGTCTCATGAAAACAGTTACTGCTGATCCTAATTAAATTTTGGAACTTTTTCATAGAATCTTTGATTTTTATCCACTAATTATTTAAAAAATAATGATCTGCTGCTTATTCTTCTACATCCAAAAATGTTCCTGTCTTCATCTTCTAAAACATGATTACTTAGCCATGCTCTTACAGCACCCTCAGGTCTAATGCTGTTAGGTGAATGGAAGAATGTACACACACATTGGTATCAAGCTTCCTGAAACCCAGACACTGATTCACAATTGTTTTTCCATTGCTTTGTTATGATCTTAAAAACACTGCTTTTCTTTTCTTTTCTTTTCTTTTTTCAATTCCATCATTCTCTCTTCATTTCAAAAAAATGATGTTCTCCCCTTCACCTTTTCTCAGTTAAATTCTGAATAACAAATCGGCTATTCAGTATGCCAGAAGAGATGTTGCTTTACCAGAAAGATATTCTTTTGAAGTCTGGATTTCATCTCACAAATTTTCACATTATTTTTCTATCTACTTACTTTTCCTCAAGCAGTGGTGTTTTGGTTATGAGAAGGCTTCACTTAGAATATAAATCTGTTAACAGCGCAAATTAAGAACTAGCATTTAGGTTATTTTGGTTTGTTCTTCTGCTGATTATATTCTCACTGAAAAATTCAGCATCTGGTGTAAATGTTTTGGATTCCACTTCAGATTTTTAGTTGTTTTTCTTTTCATTAATCCTGTGTGCAAGTCCATCGTGAATTCTACTGACTATAATGACAGGGTTTGTAGTTCTTTTGAAACTGACTTTTTTTTTTGGTTCAATAGGATTTTGTGCTTTCTCATACATGATTCCTCACTACATGAACTGCCATGTTATCACACCTTTACCTTGATTCCTATTTTCTCCATTACTTTATTCAACTAAAAGCTCCCTTTCAATTATATGATCCTGGTTTATTTCACATTATGTACAATTTTCAAATGTAAAGACATACTTTTATTTTCTATCACAACATATACATTCCTGTCTTTTTTAGAAGAGCTTTATTTTTTGGAATCGTTGTTTCTCTTTCAGCCTATATAGACCTTTATACTGTGGAAGGATTCCAAAGAGTACTAAAATAAAAGTCTGCCCATAATTTCAAAAATATCTAATGATGCTTGCGAAGCACTTGACTGCAGTAGACCTGATAATATGACATTGATTTTACAATTTGAATTGGATATTTTTCAAAACTGTAAATATTTTTCAGTCCTAAATGTCTAGGTTTGATTCCTAGCAAGATTTGTGAATTAAGACTCTTCAAGTGTCCCAGAACTTCTCATGAGGTAGTTCAGTTTTTAGTTTAGCTCTGAAGACATGTGCCATCAATTCATGACTACTAAAATGCAATGGATGCAATGTACTCTGAAAAATTACGTATTTTAGAAGCACTTGGATGAAAAAAAAAAAAAAAAAAAAGACAGATTTCTACACTACTCAGTAATGCTATTTGCCCTACTTAAACAAATTTCGAAGGTCTATGCTAACAGTAACCTAAGTGATGGCTCAATTTCTCTCCTGTATCAATGCCAGTTCAGTGAATCAGTGGTGAGATCGTTTGCTTCTATAACACCAGCCCTAATTCTTCTTTTGAAAAGGTATTTTGGGGGGTTTCCACTGAACTTTTATCGTGACTGTAGCTACAGAGACAAGAAACCTCCAACTCTGTTTGAAAGATAAGCCCAATATGTCATTCTCGTCTGTGGTTTACTCTTGAGGAATTTTGGGAATGTTTAGAGAAGGTTTTTCTAAGTCTTGTAAACACCAAACAACTATATTTTTATCATTTGTAACTGGATTGTCATCTCCTATGTTTTGAATTCTGCATTTAATTGTACATAGATTATACTCCATAATAAGATTTTTTTTATGAGTATATAAAAGTGTCTCTGTTATACACTGATCTGTATGGAGATAAAAGCATTTCTAACTCATAAGAATGCATATAAGCTAAGTTAAAAATAATAATAATGTTAGGGTTTTTTTGTTCCACTGATATTCCTGAAAATCTGAATTCTCTATTTAAATTTCAGAGATATCTCATACTTAAATATTGATGGCCTCTAGGTGGCCTTCAGCCATTACAAGTTCTTCAGATTGACTAAATGCTATGTGAAGAATTACTTCCTTTTATAAATGCTTTTGTTCAAACAAACCTTTTTGGAAAGAGAAAGGGATGTGGGGTTTGTTTGATATATTGTGGGATGCTAAGAATCCCTGGTATTTCAGGATTCTTTGTGCATTGACCTAGCCATAACATTTGCACACTTCCAGACTAATAAGTCCATAGAGAGTTTGAAAAGGCTTTGAGGATAGAATTTAAATCCTTTCTATTAGTCATTCTCAGTGGCCTGTATTTGATCTTCATTCAGTTTCCTAAATATATTGACTAAGTCATATTGTTACTGACAGTTTTCCTGAGGTCTTTTAAGTAGGCTGTGCTTGAACACCATTGTTTTGTGTTAACACAAAGCTTATCTGGTTTTGTATGGAAAATGCTCAACTTGCAAACTGGTAATGTGCTGTCATTAAAAATATATGTATATCTTTATGGAGAATCAGTCTGGATCTTTTCATGTATTTCTTTCTGTTGGATGACTGTGATGCACTTTTCTGACTGGTTTTGGCTTCAGGATATTTCAGGATGTTGAAGATTTCATGCCTTACAAACACATAACACATATGTTTATATGTTTCTATTGAGTTATTATTCTTTGTTTCAGATTTGCCTTTTTCTCTATCTCTGCTGCTAATGAGGACTGTTCCTCAATTCCAAGTTTTATTAATTTGTCCAGTGTTTGAAATAAATCCTACTTGTCTGAAGTTCTAGAAATAATATTTGAGATCATTAATAGTCACAATGGTATGTTCATGATATGCAGTCTGAAACAATGGTTCATAAGCACAATTGCTGTGAAAATGAAAGCCTTCCAGGGAGGATCTGTTGAACACAACAAATATATATATATATATACATCCAACACTTACCTACTCTTGCTTTCAGTTCATTATCATTATCATGTGCACTTCTGTAATGCTAGAGAAGTCCATCTAAGACAGAAGGTAGTTTCTGTGTGGTACTAGACCCTCCAAGAACTTCACAAATAACAGTTAAAGATGCCAGAAACCTTACTGTTTAATGATATTAGTAGCTGATAAGCTTGTTCATAAACCTAAACACATATGTATTTTGGAAGACAACATTCATTCATATACTCACTCTAAAACTCTATTCCAACGTTGTTATCCTGTACCTTCCTCCTTTTTTTCTAGTCCACCTGTTTTTATTCAAATTGTACCTCTAAATGTTCTGTCCTTTTCCCACTTCTGCACTTGTGGTGATGCTGTCTTTGTCCCCAGTACTCTGCTGCCTTTCTGCAGATACTTATTTCTCATTACGACTCTTTCCAGTGATGCCTAGTGCCAGGACAAGAAGCAGTAGGCATAAACTGGAACATCAGAGGCTCCCTCTAAACACCAGGCTGCACTCCTGTGCTGTGTGGTGATGGAGCACTGGCAGAGGCTGACCAGAAGCTGTGGGTCTCCTTGGAGTTTGGCTTGCCTGGACATGGGTATGGGCACCTTGCTAAGGGTGTCCCTGCTTGAGTAGGGTTGTAACAACATGCGTCCCTTCCAAACTCAACTCCTTCTGTGATTCTGTGATCTAACAACACTGATGACCAATACTCAGAAAAGTAGAACCAAGGGATACCAAGTATTGTGCTTCTTGAAGAAAAGTTCAACTTCAGCAGTGAAGGCGCTTTCTTACCAACTGATCTTTTCTTTCCCATTTTGGTGAACAGTTCTGTTTTTATACCCTCTTGACAAACATCAAGGAGCAACCCTACTACCTGCATTGTTTCTGGGCCTAATAGACCTATAAATCCTTAAATTCAGCAAATACAAATAGTAGATAATTATGGTATACTAACAAGTGCAAAAAGTTGGAATGCTGATTAAGAAAAGTAGAGGGCAAGTTTTTGTTGTTGGATAATTGGAATTGTATTGTCAGACTGTGATATTAACAAGTTGTTCTTGTTTGATTTTTTTTTTTTAAGAAATAGATTACTTGCAATACAAATCTGAATATTTCTGTGTGGAATGTATTCATTATTCTACCATTAAGCATGCATTTTTTTAATGTTAATAAAAAAATTCATAGCAATTACTGAAAAAATAGAAACAGCTATTTTTGGGTCACTGCTGTGTTTTCACTGAGTTGAGAACATGTATTACTTTTCAGGTGAGCTCTGTGAGGAGAAACTAGATTTCTGTGCTCAAAACCTGAATCCTTGCCAGCACGACTCAAAGTGTATCTTGACACCCAAAGGTTACAAGTAAGTTTAAAATATTGTCATGGTCCAGCTGCATCCAAATTTTTAGGTTTTTTATCCTCCTCAGCATCTTTTGTTTTTCTTTTAGTGGAAGGAAGTTCTATTCTCAACATACTGATTTCAGTTATTACTAAATATTACAGTAGACTAGGCTCAGTTATTTTAAGGTAGATCTCCAATATTATCTTAGATGTGGTTTACTGAATTAAAAGATTCTTAGCAGTTCTAACTTCAACTAGAATTTGAAGAAGAACAAAATGCAGAGCAGTTAGTTTATATGATAGTCTATACAAAACCCTTTAGTAGCTTGGACAGTGGGAAAATAATTACATTTAATTGAAATGGAATTATTATACTGCTGTCTGAGAAGTAATTATGAAAGAGGTTATTAGGAAGGAACACTGCAAGGTATAAAATAAAGTCCATTCCCAGGAAAGTTAATCTGTAATTACACTATATCCTTATTATAATTAATTATGCACACTTCAAAGTGTTTTTAATGGGCTTTAGGTTAATAAATCATAAGTACCTGTCTTACACACAGTGTGCTCTTGTGCCAGAATCGGGTTATCTATTATCATTACAAAAACTTACGAAAAGACATGTTATTTAAAACGAGGCAGAAAATATATCAAATATATCAAATATTCACATGAACACTAAATGTTCATTAAGAAAAAGTTGTCAATTGGAAAATAGAAAACTTGTTGGATTTAATTTTCTCTGCATTATGTTTATTATCTTCATGCCACTTCAGTGAATCTAGTTTGGCATGTCATACTTTACTACTCAGCTGGTCAGTCTTCTAAGTTAATTTCTGAGATTTTAAATCAGAAAATAACATATGCAATAACTTCAAGAATGTATCTCATTTATTTTTATTAATAGTGTGCTTTATGTTCTTTATTCCATTTTCTTAATCATATATTGTACAGTATGTTGTTGGGATATATTTTGTTGGAGTACTTAATTTAATATTACATAGCTATTTGAAATCACTCTTGGCTCTTTAGAGCAAGTTTTAGTTATAAGAGAAAACAACAGCAAGGGAGGAATCACAGGGTCTAATGAAATCAATCCATAAATCTTAATCAAAAAATATTCATGTGTATGTATGAATTAGTAATATTTTCCATTCATTTTTCACAGACTTCTGAGCATTCACTCAATCTAAGAATATGAGAACTCCCTGCAGATCTGCTGCTAACAATGAGAGTTGCATGAAGTAAAATAAATAATAATAAAATAAAAAAATAATGTTGCCTACTATTCTGACAACATAAAGTTTTAGTTCAGTGAGAACTTGAGGACTCAGGGCAGGGATGCAGAGTGTGTTTTGAGACTTACGTTAGTTCAGTAACATCGAGCTATTTGTAGTAAATTAGGCTGGTTGAACTTCAAGGGGAAAAATAATGTGTTACCTTTGAATTGAATAAATGGATCTTTGGCCTATTCTTAGCTGTTCAGTTGGCAAAGAAATTATCCATCAGAATAACACAAACCTTAGATTACTTGTCTGTTTCAACAACTAAGCATATTGATTATTTTTAGTGTTCACAACCACTTACAACATCCCTTAACATTCTGCATTACTCATAAATTCAAAGAACTGTCAAAATGATTCATGAGGTCTCTCCAGGTTTTAAACCACAAATTATTCGATATAACGTCAAATAATGAGTAAGCATGTGTAACTGGCAAACCTGGAAATGAAAATTCCCCAAATAATAACATGATTAAGGTATACAAAGTCAGAGTAACATTTTAAAGTTTCAAGTTTTAAACAACTCATTAGTTCCTTACCTTTCTCATTAACACTCAGTATTGCTAAAAGGCATTGTGTTATTCTTGCTTTTCTATTTTACAGATGTGATTGCACACCTGGATATGTAGGTGAACACTGCGATATTGACTTTGATGACTGCCAGGACAATAAATGTAAAAATGGAGCACAGTGTACTGATGCAGTTAATGGGTATACATGTATTTGCCCAGAAGGATACAGGTGAGGAAGATCAGAAAATAGTACAAGCATGTTTAAGGCCATGTTGGATGGGGCACTGGGAAATCTAATATAGTACCTGATCTTGGAGAAGGCTCTGGGGCAACCTCACTGTGGCCTTCAGTACTTGAAGGGAGCATATAAACAGAATGGGGATCAACTGTTTGCATGGGTTGATAGTGATAGGACTACGGAAATGGTTTTAAACTGAGACAGGAAAGATTTAGGTTAGATATTAGGAGGAAGCTTTTTATTTCCTCTTTACTTTAAATTACTTTACTTACACATTGTAACAGGCTGCCCAGAGAGGTTGTGGATGTCTGATCCCCTGGAGGCAATCAAGGCAAGGAGGGATGTGGCTCTGGGCAGCCTGATCTGGTAGTTGGCGAGCCTGCCCAAAGCAAGGGGATTGAAACTAGATGATCTTTGAGGTCCTTTTCAACCCAGGCCATTCTATGGTTCTATGTATTTCTTTCTTGTGTAAGTCATGTTGTTTTTTGTAAATACTGATTTTTCTATTTGTATTTAGTGGCTTGTTTTGTGAGTTTTCGCCACCAATGGTTTTACCTCGCACCAGCCCTTGTGATAATTATGAATGCCAAAATGGAGCCCAGTGTATTGTAAAAGAGAGTGAGCCAATCTGCCAGTGTTTATCAGGCTACCAGGGTGAGAAATGTGAAAAGCTGATCAGTATAAACTTTGTCAACAAAGAATCTTATCTACAAATCCCTTCAGCTAAGATACACTCCCAAACCAATATCACTCTTCAGGTAAGATTGCTTGTATGGAAGTTTCTGATCTGGAAAACAGTGTAAATGATTTTTTGTAGTGTGAAAAAGTACCCCCATTAATCATTAGCTCATTTAAAGAGCTTTACACAATTTGAGCAAAGAATATATGAGAGTCACTGAAATAACTCTATATTCATTATGAAGTAGATGAGCTTATTGATAAAGAGGAAGAATATTGTTGTGTTGACCAATAAGGAATTTTACAGTAAATTAATAGACTGTATCAGTAAAATCAGAGATTTACTTAGTACAGCATTTTGATTATTTTTCATTCTTTCCAATTGTTTCTTTCTTTTAATTAGATTGCCACAGATGAAGACAGTGGGATCCTGCTCTACAAAGGCGATAAGGATCATATAGCAGTAGAGCTGTACCGTGGTAGAGTAAGGGTCAGTTATGACACAGGATCTTATCCAGCCTCTGCTATTTACAGGTAAAGCTAGATTTAAAAAAGAATAATAAAACCTAACTGGAACAAAAGATGTATTAATTATAACTCAAAGTCATATATTTTGAATAGATAGTTAAATACATTCAAACGAATGTATTGTCAGACATTTTGTAATTAAAACATACTGCCAGAATACGTGATTTTTCTCGGAAGGTAACTCTCATGAGTCAGCATGAGATATATCAAATATATTATTTGATCCATTAAAACCGAGTAGAAGTTGGCTTCCAGTAGAATATATATATGTTTGTGTAAAACTCACATGTGAAAGTGTTGTATTTATTTTTTTTTTCCCAAGATGTTACTGCCAAATAATTTCCAAGTGTGCAGGGTAAAGTGCAGAACTATACTGCACAAGCAGAAATGAAATGGCAGTTTTTCTTCTTTTCTGTGTTAGGCATAAAAAGTGAGACTTTTCCCTGGCAGTGGAAGAGAAAGCTAAAAATTTGATTCTAAAAAAGTCACCATCCTTGAAAAATAAATGGTTTTTGTTCCCAGAGTCATCAAGAGACAGAATCCACATCTGTTTCTGTAGTATAGTTTTTCAGCTGTTTTAAGTGAAATTTATCTGATTCTCTGAAAAAAAAATATTACCTAAATTTTCCAGGAGATTTTATATCTCTCATTTCAAGAATTTACAGAAAGACATTGCAAGCATGAGCAAAAAAACAACAGGGATCACCTCTTCTCCTTAATCTGCCCTATTGTTGCTATAAACCCATTCAGAAGTAATTGGGAAGTTTTGAATGAGTTTTCCCTCAGTCTTGTTTTCTTCTGTAATTACAACTCTTACATTGTAAAACTTTATCTAGTGCTTATTTGTTTGCTGGAGATTGTACTTAGCTGACATTGTTCTGTATTCTATTAGGGATATAACATTGAAAATACATTGTTTTTAGAAATGATTGCACTTAATATAAAATCAAAAGTTTACATTTATGTATGCTAAACTTTGGTAGGTAGTAGCATCATGGGAACTGTGTTTTCTAGTAGATTACTGAAAACATTCCACAGGAAAAAAAAAAAACAAACATTTCTGTATAATATAATACAAAGATGTTTAGTAAAATCATAGACTTTTACAGTAAACATCTTAAGATTGTTTCTATTTTCTAATGCAGTGTATGATTTATGACTTTGTTTACAGTTCCATGGAATGGTTTAACATGTAGAAATAGTAACTGTCTTTTCATTATATAAATTAAAATACAGAAAACAGACTCTATAGAAGATTTAAGTATTTAACACAAATGTAATGTTGCCAAAATAATAAGACAAGTGGTACCTCACTGAGCAAAGATGAGATATCTAAAACAGAAACCAAAATAAGTGTGTGTATATATATATATATATATATATATATATATATATATGTATATACAGCTAATAGATTCAAACAGAAGTTTTGTTATATAAATGGTAGTTAAGAAATGGTGTGTTCAGAAGGACTCAAATGGGAACTATAAAGCCTGCAGAAATGCTTGTGGTAGGAGCAAAACAGTTACAAACAGATGACTTATTCATGATAAATACAGAGAATGAACAGTAACAGTAGTCTAGCTGTGTAGAGTGAATGAAACTGCTTTGCCAGTGGGATTTTACTGAAGAAAGAGCCATAATCCCAAAAGCAGTCAATCTGAGTAACAACATGAGATGATGATGGTGCCTAGACCAATAAATAACATTAATTGATTGGGGATGTTTTGTTTGAGAAAAGTTGAACCACTTCAATTTTGTTCTATCTGGGCATCAATTTTAAAATATTAAATGTTTTTTGTGTGTGTGGTTTTTTTTTGTTTTTGTTTTTTTTTTTTCCATAAAAAGAAACCTATTTGTTCTATAAAGCCATTTGCATCATATATTTACTGGGAAAATATGAATGTTTCTTCTTGAATTACTATTCTTATACAGAGCTCCAGAAGCCTTAAATCAATTTTTCTTAGAGCTTTCCGCTAGGATCTGTGCAATTCACTCTTTATTCTCCAGTGGGAAATGTGCTAGAAGTAATGCAAGTGCATTGGCAGGAACCATTGCACAAATATGCTTTGTGTTTAGTTCCCCTTTAATTTAAACCACCCTTACCTAGGAGGGCTCCTCTTTCTGCAGTAATTTTTTTCTTAACCAGTAAAACAGGTAAAACTAGAAGCTTTTAATAATCACTCTTAAGAGAGATGCATTCCCTTTCCACATTGTTTTATACATCCCTAGAATGACCTCCTGCTATAAAAACATGTGTTTTGTGTTGCTCTCATCCTTGTAAATACGATAGTGTGAAAGGTCCTTAAGTTGTAAAGTGGTGTTAGCTGCCTTGGAATAAGAACATTATATTAGGGTTTCTTGTTTACTTAAGTCACAAAGTCACATCCATTTTTATTTCTTGACACAACTCTTTTTTTCTAGATTCATTGAAATGTGTTAAATATGTTAATCCTGGCAGATTTCTTGTTGCTTGATCACAGAAAACAACTTAATAAATTGAATAGATCATACATTTTAGAAATATTGAACTTTGGCCTGTTTCTTTCCCACATGGAACCTCTCAGTCATTCCTCCTCCTCCGCATTCCCAAAAAGTGCTTATTCTGCCAGTGTCTGCACTGTGCATTTGCATTTTTATGTAGACCTAAGTTTATTTAAAGCATCATGCTACTATGCAGAACTTCTATCCTTACTAGTCTGGGCCTGGATAGCTGAAGTTGGTAATAAATAGCTGAGAAGCTGCTTAATGTGTCACAGCTGTAAACAACTATGTGAGCACTTCTGAACTGTTCCAGGAAAATAGCAGTTAGGTTAATTAAAGCGTCACTAAGGATGTTAAAAGGTAATTTGTTTGATTTTTGCCCTGAGATTTAGGAAGCTAATCCTTTTCAACTATACTGCTTTTCTAATGAGAAGAGCTCACTGTCTGTAAGTCTGTTCTGTCCATCTCAGACTAACATCATACAATTGGTTCATTTAAATTACTTTTCAAAGGCTTAAGCTAACTTGTTTGATGGTATTCTGAAGCAAATAGATGCTGTCATGGGAATGGTAATAATGTCTGGTCCCTGGACTACAGCTTATTGTCATAACTTCCATCCAGTCATACATTTAGCTCCCAACTCTCCAGTCGAAAATGAGCTAGAAGTAATTTAAGTACAATGATATATTCAGTCCCAGAACTATTGAGTTCTGGGACCTTTCTCTCTGATGTACTTAAACTGTGTTTAAATATTCACTGTGTAATATCGAGGTCACTAAGCACTGACAGACGTTTCTTGTGCTTAGTAACATTAATGTGTAGGTTTGTGCTTGCATAGCATATGCACCATGCTTGAAACAAGCCTTCTCTGCTTGATGTGCTTCAGGCATTTTCCTACTAGTGGGTTTGTATTCTGTGAGTAAGCAGAAGGAAATGGTGTACAAAGGCAAGAAAACAAAAAAACTTATAGTGCAAGCCATAAGTTGAACACAGAAATAACCAGGCCTGATAACACAATACAAATTATTTTATTGCTAGCATAAGTAGAGCTGCTTGGATCAGTGATATGATTTTGTCTGGCAGGACTCAGATTAGACGCAGTTCCATATTCCATTAAACTAAGTTTATATATCACTGGAGTCAAACTCATTCATTCCTACTTGCAGAATATGTAAACTCACCACTGTGCAACATGTAGGATAGGATACACAAACACATGGAGATAAATAAGATCTCTGCACAAAGCCAAAGTTTTTGTGTGTTTGGCTTCCTGCATAGTAAATGTAGTTCAACTTTTTAGAATATCAGCTGTTACACAGTACATGATTTGATAAGAATGAATAAAAATTGGCTATTAGTAATTTCAAAACATATTACTAATAGAGTGTTATTGAAGGGTTATTACACTGTGTTAGCTCTTATGCATGCATGCAGTTAAATCTAGCTTTCTGGAAACTCTTGAAAAAGTTTTATTCTGAAGCTGTGTTAACTGTCAAAGAGAAAGAAGATCAAAATCATTCTAACCAGAGCATCAACTGTTTCAAATTAATGTTTATTTTGCAGTGTGGAAACTATTAATGATGGCAATTTCCACATTGTGGAGCTGCTAGCCATGGATCAGATTCTGTCTTTGTCTATTGATGGAGGAAGCCCCAAGATAATTACCAATTTGTCCAAGCAGTCCACTTTGAATTTCGATTCTCCACTGTATGTCGGAGGTAAGAGGATCTTACTGCTTCTACAAATAGTATTGGTTAATTTGACTGGTAATATCTGTTAATAAACATATGGTAGGAGACTCATTCATGAAGACAACACCTGAAAAAGAAACGTGAGCTGAGCCGTTATCTCAATAGATTCAGTTTTAAAAAATAGTATTGGCAGAGTGGCTAGTAGCTTAAAAATAAAAAATGTCCTTCTACCTAGAATTTAGTTGAAGAATAAAGCATGTCTTCATAAACTACATCTGTTGTCAGTCAGTTTATCTTATAAACCAAGTAACAAAAGCCTCAGTTGCAAATAATGAGGGATGAGATGAATTTTGTCTCTTTCCCACTCTGTCCTGTAAACACTTTTTTTTTTTTTTTTTTGGTCAAATCTTTCTGTATTTGGTTATTGTCTCCTCCCATCTAAAATGAAAAGAAGTACAAGATAAAATTCAACATTAGTCGTATTCCTCATACTAGCAGAGAAATGAGTATCATCACATATATGAATTGCCTTTAAAATTCCGTTATACCACAGATCTTCAAAGGAGGGAAAGTCCTATATTCAAATAAGACACTGTGTGCTTGCTTACTTGTATTGTCAACATCCATTTGTTGTTTAATGACTGCTAAGAATATTGAGATGAGTGCAGAAAGATTGCCCTGTCTGTTATGGGCATCTACTAATGAAATGATTCTGTACATCCAAGTGCAGACATTCCTTTTGTTCAGTGTTAACACGTATGATTTATGACATACAGTTCTCTTGCTTCTTCACCTGACAGGTGTGTATTCATTAGAAGACATATTAACCTGTGTAATCATCATGAATTATCAGAAGAAACAATTTTTAGAAATGACTTTTTCCTCCAGTGGTCTGGTTCCTAAGAGCAGGAGTCTCTTTCAACCTACAACATATGCTTTAGAGTTATCCTGTGTTGCCTCTATTTCCGTTCTTCACATTCAGGCTCCAAGCAGAAAATCCTTCCAGCTGTCATAGAAAATGTTAATCCAAAACAGAATGAAAGCTGCTATCAGGAGCACATTATTATTATTGTAGAGCAAAAAACAGTAGACATATACTCATCTGTTAAACTTTTATGTTCTCTATCTGTACTTGTATGTTTGTTATCTTTAAAATTTTTGAACCAGTTAAAATCCACTCTTTTTTTGTTATTTTACTTATCTTTTTAGATTCATTCATTTTTTTCATAGTCTATCTAGAATTTTTGAAGAATTTGATCACACATATCCTTCAGTTACGAACTCAAATTCTCACTAGAATTCTTGGCAGTATTCTTATCTTTGCCAAAGTCTTAGTTTGACACCTATACCATCATGTAACTTACACTTGCTCTTATCACCTTTCTGTTAAAATGGCATTTCTGGTAAGCATCACCTCAGCTGGCACGATGAATGAAATTCAGACTTGACAGCAAGCCCTTTTACCCCTCTCTCTTTCTTTTTTTTTTTTTTTACAAAGTTATTCTTGGGTGACAATTATTTTGGTCGGTTGGGAATCCATAATTTGATCTAATTTTTACAGAAACAAGTTACTTTATGCAACTTTTTAAATATTTTTTCAACTGTATGTCTTTTTTGAGGTCAGACTGCACATATTGATATTTTCAGTCTATCTGTAACAATTCCCAGTATATCATATTGAAAGCTCATGGCTTTTGGTCAGAAGCCCAAAGGGACAAACCTTCTTCTCAAAAAGTCTTTAATGGAGCCACAGACTTCAATGATACTTCACATTTTTCTTTCAGAAATTAGAGCACATTTTTGTCAATTGTTTGTGGCACCTTGTTTCAGAGAAGTCCCTATTTCTGACACAGACACAGCATCAACAGCTTTTCATTTGCAGGCACTCTGCTCTAACAGTGTTTTAATGAGATGGTCATTTTAACAGCGTTATTGTATTGCTGTTATCTAGTAAGATGGTAAGATGCTCTTACACTCAATACACTGTATCCCAACTCCAAATCAATGACCTGCTGTTTCTGAATTCTTCAGGATCTGAACATCTTGATACGTGATTTTTGTTTTTTAAATATTTTGTTTTTTAAAGATTCAGATAGTGTACCATCCCAGACTTAATTGCATTGGGTCAAACAGTCATGTATCTGACTTTTCACCAATTGCAAGCTTCCTGTATGAACTCCTACATCCATCACTTTAGCTGACACTAAAGGCATGTTGTTTTGCAGTTGGTTTGCATGCATGCTTGACAACCAGGACAATTTCCAAATACAAGTTCATTACTCATCCCTGTAGGCTGAATATCAAAGATAATTACATAGGGAGAAGCATAATTTTTAAAATATCTTTAAAAACAGGGAATATGGTATAGAAAACTGTACCAAAAATTACACTGATTATTTGCTGTTATTAATTTCCTAGGCATGCCTGTGAAAAATAACATTGCAGCCTTACGCCAGTCTCCAGGACAGAATGGCACAAGCTTCCATGGCTGCATCCGTAATCTGTATATCAACAGCGAACTCCAGGACTTCAGAAATGTGCCACTGCAAGTGGGAATTCTGCCAGGTTGCGAGCCTTGTCACAAGAAAGTTTGTGTGCATGGAACATGCCATGCTACCAGCCAGTCAAGCTTTTCCTGTGAGTGTGAAGGAGGATGGACTGGACCCCTCTGTGATCAACAAACTAATGACCCGTGTCTCGGAAATAAGTATGTCCTTCCTCAAATCAGAGCTGTAGTGTAATATGTATATAATTTTCCTCTTATGTTTTTTTTTTTTTTCCATACAATTTTACAGTTCAGTAAGAAACAAAATATGCTGGACATGTAAAAGTGAAAACAGCATCCAAGTTAACTTAAACTTAATAAAAAAAAAAATGTAGGGGAGCAGATAAACACATCACCCAGAAGTTCTGCCTAAAGCCATAATGTGGGATATGATTGGACTCTTTGCTCTTAATGCAGTTCTGACTAGTTCTGTAATGAATTACACAGATGCAAGTGCAGCTATTGGTATGAAGTTTGATACAAAAGTCATTTGGAGGAATTTGCCAAGTGGAAAAAGGCTACTTCTTATCAGAAAGTACCTTTCTTATTGTTAGTGTGTTTATTTAATTCTTATTATTTAATGTCTTATTATTTAATTTTTTTTTTTTTTTTAACTTATCCAATCCGATATTTCTACAATAACCCCACATTTTGGCTAAAAAGGAGATTTCTACCTTTATGGTAAACTTCTGCTTAAGTACATGTGTGTTAATTCTTCTCACAGACTTAACTAGAACATTTTCAGTTGGATGTTTTAAGTATGTTTATACAGCTGGTCTTGTGTGTGTATATATATGTGTGCATCTATATACAGATAGATATAGATACATAAATATACATATATGAAGTATTTATATGTGTGTTCATCTTATAAATAGTGACATGCTCAATTTCTTGGTTCATGATCTCCCAGCACAAAAAGATCAGAAACTTCAGAAGTTCACAGTCCTTTGGGATGTGTTGGTCATGTGCAATAAGATGCCATTCAGTTGACCTTTACCACTGTCCTTACCGCATTTTTTTTTCCAAAGGGCCTGTTAGGTTTTTTTTCAGTGCTCTGATCTACATAATTTTTTAACTTTTGAGGACCAGTGCTCTAACTCTTCCTGGAGATTCTAATAAGATGATTTTCAACTGCCATATAAAGAGATGTTTAAGTGATGTTTTGACACAGCGTGCATTGGGAGTCTCACCTTTTAATGCTTTATACACTAATGAGGGTGCTTTGTTTACACAGTTTACAGATTGTTTCAGAGCTATCAATGTTTGAACTCTTCCCAGAGCCATAGCAGTGAAATTTTGAGAGATCATTGCAGCACTAAGTTGTTTATGAGTCTTTTTTTCTTATGCTGTCCTCTTTCACAGTATCTTAATAGAAAGAATGGAAGTCACAGCAGGTTAAAAAATATAAATGCTGAATCTAAGTCTCTTACATCTATTTTATACTTCAGTAGCCAAAACCAATGCGGAACTGTACCATCAAGTTCTATAAGTGAATTCTAAGAATTTCTTCAAAGTATCTTTGTAATAGATTCTGTATGGATTTTTGCAACTGAACACAAGTCTGAATGTTTCTTGTAGTGAATTACAAAACTTGGCAAGTATCAGATACATACAATTTGGAATTTCTTTCAAGGATGAAATTAAGTGAGAAAAACAGTAGTAGTTTGCTAGTTCTTGCAAATACTGTTTTTGATTCAGTTGTATACAGTGCTGTGAGCTTTTAAGAGAGAAAGACAAACCAAAAACTATTTCTTTGGAATGATGCAGGTTTTCATTGTTCTTTTGTTCCTGGGGAATTTTTCTATTTCCTGATGCATCTCTTAAATCCTGTCTGATAAATAGATGCCTTTTTTTCCACCTAGTGCAATATAATGTTCCATTTTATCTGTAAACAGAATCGTCATTGTGATCTGTTTTGGAAATTTAGAGAATCTCTTAGGGGTCTTGCACACCATGAAAAAGCTTAAGGCTTTGATTTATTTTATGTAAACCTAGGTGTTTGAGTTAGGAACATACTGACCAAAGATTGCTCTCAAGTCAGTAAAGGAAGAAACAGTTCTTGGAAGTAAAATAGACTTCATGTGGTTTAATAACCTTATGGACAAACTTGTTTCTCTTCATGAGTGTGTAGGAAGCTTATGGCAATTATAAATCTAACGAATGCCTGACATAGGTACTAAAATTAGATAAGCTGAAACTGTGCCTGAGAGTTTGCACTTAGCTTGATGTTCCTTTCAGTGCAGTCTGAAGATGAAATTTAGGGCTTCAAAGAACAGGTGGAAGGAAAAGTGAGAGAATTGGCATTAGCTAAGATTTAATCATCTTTAAGTCAAGTAAAACTCTACCAAAAATCCTGACACAGATTGGTTTGATATCTGAAACAGCCTGTATAGAATATGACACGATGTCAGTGTTGCCTGAGTAGCTTCAAAGATCAGGTGTCCACAGTGTGCTTTTTTTGTGAGTGGTAAACACAAGGAAGACTAAATGAAAACTAGCTGCTTTGTGACACTAAGCCTCCAACTTTCAGTTGCTTAATCTAACAGACCTAGAATATCAGACCACAGGAACAATTTTAAATTCTTTAGGAAACATAATTCCTTCAGATGTGCAGAATGGGGAACTTGGAGGTGCTTAAGCTACTAGTTAAGTTTTACATTTGCAGTGTTTAGTCTCTAACTGGATAAGTGAATGGAGGCTGTGTGTTGTGCCTTCCATTTGAATCTCTTCTGATGGGGTTGTCTTGCTATACTCTTTGTTCTTGTAGTTACACCATGCTAAAGCACGTACACAGAATTAAGCATACAGATAGGTAATTGTAATGTAGCTGTCTTTGCTGAGTGGAACTTGGTGGTGTTTACAAGCTGAAGCAAGCTTCCAGTAGTTCGTTCAGGTTTGTTGAACTTAAAATGTGTTGTGCAGTCTTTGCAGTTTTACCAAATTTCTTATGGTATTGAAGGAGTAGAGTACAAAGCAGAAAGTTACTAGAAATACAGACTATGTTACATACAAAATTTATAAATGAGATGTTCTTAACAGTGCTTTTTTTTACTATGAAATGACATCTTTTTCTTCCAAACTGAAACGAAGTATTTTGTTTTCAATCAAATACAACTTCTTTCTCATCTGAAGCTTCTCATTTATTTATGTATTTATTTAGGTGGTTGCCACAAACAGCTAAGGAGGCTGAGAGCTCAGAGATCTTACAATATGGAGAGGAGTAACATTAGGGTGAAAGTGACCTTGAGTGTCAGGGTTGCATTTGTCCCTACAGAGGAATCTTTGCTGTCTCCCTAGGAAACAATGTATAGATAGAAGAATTGTGTACCAAGACAGCAGTAAAAGGAAACAATGCTATTTCTAGGAAGAAAGGTGTTGACTCTGTGTCACCAAATCAGAAAAGGGAAGTGATTTTATTGCAACTCATTGGTTGTCATTGGTGATGTTTTCATCAGCAGATGAATTCCCCTAATCTTCTGATTACACATAGGAACAGGTAATTAAACATCCTCCTTTTGGGAGACACCACCTCCCTCTCAGAAAACTAAGACAAGCTACATATTCTATATATCACAACTTAGCAAATGCAGCTCAACTCGGAGCCTTTTTGTCTAATGACAAGATTTGAGTTGCCACAAACATTTACAACAGACCAACTGAGAGAGTAGCTGATTAAAAAAACTCAGGTAAGACCTGATAATCTGCAACGTGATCTAGCATGACTTTCTGCACGAGTACTAGCTGAGTACTGCTAGTGCATACATTATGTGGCCATGCTGCTGGCAGTTTTCGGTGCGAACTAATGCATTTGAAGGGGGACATGTTCAGCTTTGAAACCATTGCTTGAATCAAAAGAGTTTTAGCTAAGAAGTGTCTGGCCTGTCTTTGTGCTGGGAGCCCATACTTCATGAGTGACAGTATGATTTTTATTAATGATACAAGAACCAAAATTTCAGGTGAGTAGCCTTTCTCTCTACCTAATTCTAATGGATTACACTTGGACTGAATCTTGCTGTGCTCTTGAAAGCATGCTAAAAATTTAGATAGACAGAAAGTGTTGACTTGAGAAACTGTGGCCTACAAAAGTATTCCATAACACATCTACAGTGGTTGCTTTCTGGTGAGACAGAGTTCTGTAGTGCAGCTTGTTTCGTGTAAAACTGCATACCAATTATAAAACCTTATAAAGCACTTCACTGCATCTCACTGAAAAAGTCTATTAGAAACAAAAGCAATTTCTTCTGAGTACAGTCCAAAGTACTTGTAGTTAATGTTGCTTAGCCTGAACTTTGATGAATAATTTATTTTTATTCTCTTGGGCTTGTTTCCCCTGTAGATGTGTGCATGGTACCTGCTTGCCGATCAATGCGTTTTCATACAGTTGTAAATGCCTGCAGGGACATGGGGGAGTCCTCTGTGATGAAGAGGAAATGCTGTTTAACCCCTGCCAATCCATCAGGTGTAAACATGGCAAATGCAGGCTTTCAGGACTTGGGAAACCATATTGCGAATGCAGCAGCGGATACACGGGGGACAGCTGTGATAAAGGTAAAAAATAAAATTCAAAAGTCATGTTATTATTTTGGTCTCAGAAAAGAGGTTTGTTTTATTAAAGCATGAACAGCCAACAACATTACCAACTTTTTTTTCTCCACAATACACACATTTGTTGCTTTTTTTTTTTTTTTTTTTTTTTGCCATAAGAATTTATCTCAGTGAGAGAAGAATCAAACTTTTCCCATGAATTTATTTACATTTTGGATATTTTTTCACCAAATGTTTTGCTGTGAAAACTTTTTTTTTTTGCCTTTATTCAAAAACACATTTTTACTATATTTAACTACTACCTTTTACCTGCTGTATCTTTCTGTATTTATTGTTTCTCTGCCTTCTGCAACTGAGAAGCCAAATCCAATGATTCTGCTCCTAGTTTTATCACAAACTCTACTTTTGACCTCTCAGCTTCAACTGATTTATCACAGCGAATTATGCAGGTGAGATGGATGAAAACAGGATGACTTTTTCCCCTACCTTTTTCCTTTGTCTATCGAAGTTCTCCCTCTCCCTCTCTTTCCCTTACCCCAGATGGCATTTATTTTGTATTGTACGTAGATGTGAATAGAAGAGTATGGTTGTAGAAGTTTTAACAGATGTCTCATTTTTTGCTGGTTTTATACCTCAGTAATTTATGAAGTTAGTGGAATGTAACTTGTATTAAATAACAGATTGAATAATATTAAACTCCAGGTCTAATAAATTAAATTGCATGCTCTCTGAAACATTTTCCTATGATAAACAGAACCAGCTGCTAGCAATGTAAGAACAGAAGATGTGTATTTTTATAAAAAAGAAAAAGATTTAAGCTTCCAATTTTCTTGTCATTGTAATAGCTTTGTATTTATGGTTTACATATACATAATATAAACTTATCTGAAAATAAGAGGTGTAGGAAATAAAACTCAGCATTAATCAAATTATGTTTGATAGAACAACTAGTTTCCATTATGTGTCTGAGCCAAGTAAAATGCCATTTTCAACTGCAATTAGAAAAGGATCATCTTCTTCAGCAACGTCAAACATTCTTTGTATCCCTTATTTTAAATATTTTTTTCTGCAGAAATCTCTTGTCGAGGGGAACGAATCCGAGATTACTACCAAAAGCAGCAAGGGTATGCTGCGTGCCAGACGACCAAGAAGGTATCGAGACTAGAATGTAAAGGGGGATGTTCAACCGGGCAGTGCTGTGGACCACTAAGGAGCAAGAGACGGAAATACTCTTTTGAATGCACTGATGGGTCGTCATTTGTGGACGAGATTGAAAAAGTGGTGAAGTGTGGCTGTACAAATTGTCCCTCCTAAGTGTTCCTGTCACACTTGTCTTTTGAAAATGTTGTATACTTATTGACCGTGTCGGACTAATTAATGCTTCATAGTGGAAATATTTGAAATATATTGTAAAATACAGAACAGACTTATTTTTATTATGAGAATAAAGACTTTTTCTTCATTTGAAAAAAGATTCAAGTGCTTGAACTGAGACTTCTCATAACCAAGAGGAGCTTTGAAGAAAAAAAAAAGACCTGGTAACATTACAACAGTGATGGGAAACTTAACTACTTTTAACACGGATTCTTCTTTATAACATGCTGAAGATACACTGACACTATACATACGTGACTTTCAACATAACAGCTCAGAGATGAAATGTTGACCAGAACATGAGTCTTGTTTTTTCATTTTTGTATCAGTATATTTTATTGTCTTGACAGACCATACCAATCGCTTACCTATGGATGAGAATGCATACAGAGATAATAATTGTATGAAGTACATTTTATCTTTCAGAATTATTAAGCATCTTGAGAAGATGAGGTCCCATTTAGTGGATGGGAAATGGGAGATATGAGAATATACTATAATCCTGAAATCTCCTGATGATGTACACTTTTATGTCAGCATGTTAACAAAAGAAGCATACAAAAAGTGTTTATCTGCCCTTTTCCAGTATTAATTTTTTGTAATATAAATGTTTGGGGGATGATGAAAATAGATTATTGATGGATAAATTAGTAATAATATGGATTTCTGTTTCTATGAGTTCTAAAAACAACTCTATACAGTATTCGGTTTCATTGAGAAATATTTATTGTATCGAAGTACATTGTACTTAACCCTCCTAGGTCATCCCTTTTACTGTTTTTCAATGCTTTAATATATATTAATTTATATTTGTCCCAGTATTTTTGTATTTTTTTTTTAAGAAAAAGACTTAAAAATCAGGATTTTTTGCAATAGAACTAACGTAGCATGTCGTCTTGGGGTAAATGTTTTTGGTCTGTTCCTCCCCTTCCTTTTCCCTTTTTCTTTTCCTTAGAATCTGACCACTTGGTGTCACTGAATCTGAAAGTGATGACAATCTGCAGTTTTCACATACAGCAGATATTCAGGACACCTTCCAGGAACCTGTAATGTGTGACAGAAAATGTCTTTTACACTAGATGGCAATTGTAGAGAAATTAATTTTCCCTATATACAGTACTTACAGAAAATGAGATGGCATGTAGAAAATGACATTAGAGGGTAGATCTTTATAAATTAATATTCCCATGGAGTCCTTTATCTTTTTTTTTTATAAAGAAAAAAAGACTGTGCTATCAAGAACTGTGACTTTCCCCAAATAATAAAGCTACTTTACTGCCCTAATGTTCCCCACGTTAACATGTTGCTGCTAAATTATAATGTAGAATTGGTAATCATTAATAGTGGGTTGTGTTCTTCTTTCAGTAAAACCCAGGGTACCCTGTAAAAATGCAGATGTTTTTCAATTTTATTTTATTATTTTTTTTACAAAAAAAAAAAGTTAGATGTACATGTGTAATGCAGTGTGCTTTGTCTTATTTGGACTGATATCAGTAATGCTACTGATGTTTGTAAATTAAACAGATATTTACTTCACTAACTGCTTTTATTTGTATTCTTCTGAAAAGCTCAAATTGTCTAACAGCCTTTAATTAAACACTTGTAGTTGCAAGCAGTATTTGGTATAAAGAAAAAAAAAAAAAAGAATTAAACCCAACTCTAGTTCTAGTGTATTCATTGCTGCAAATCTGAAGGAGTTACAATGTAATTATTGCACTTACAGGCAAGGACATCTGAGAATGTCAGTTCCTTAAGAACACAGCAGAACTCATAGCAAAATTAACTAAAAACTTATTTATAAGTGAAATGCACTGGGTGTAAAGGCACGTTAAGTCTATGCTGGTATTTTAATGATTATAAAACTGGCAACTTGGCAGTGTTAAGTAACTTGATTCTTCAGAAAGCTTTATTTTCACTAATTTTGAACTAAGCATTTTAAATTTCAGCAATTAGATGGATTGGATAGGATACTTTAAAAGATTTCACTCCTGTAATATAATTTTTGCATACATTGCTGTATATTTTTCTCAGTCCACCTTAGAAACTGTCTAAATATCGAAAGAAACTGCCTTTGACATGAAGCCTTCTTTTTTGTTCCTTTGACTTCTAGTTAATCTTCCTTAAGTATTAGAAGCTTGCAGGAAGAAGTCTTTTTGCAAAGTACTACTTAGCTAGTGTTCTTGGAGAAGCGGTATTACTTCTCTGTGTACAACCAAAATGCCTGTACCAAGTATCTGGAGCTTGACTGCTTTAAGTGCATCAAGGCTGGGCTTTTTTTTTTTGGGGGGGGGGGGGGGGGGGGGGGGGGAGGGGAGGGTTCTAAGCAGCAGCAAAAACTAACAAACAAAAACAAACTTTAAGATTTAATTTCAAATCAAACAAAAAAATTTTGCACCTACAAGTACCTTTCTGGAAGATATAAGGCACTGCATCCAACTGTGGCTTAGAAACTGAAGCATCCCTATATTTTCACCAATGAAAGTCCTTAAGCAGCCACTGTTTATGATGTAGCACAGCTCTGTCATTTCTCAATGGAATGGGTCATCCTGACACATTTATCATCCCTCAGTTGGATTTCCTGTAACGTGGCTGTAATAGCAGACTGTCATGTACAGATATGCCTTGAAGGTGAGCTGGGGATCTGAGGGAATTGTAGCTTTAGGCAAAGCTAACACAGCAGAGGATTTAGTTCAGTGCAGAATACTCCAGGCATATAACTAAAGGAGGTAACAATGATGCAGCTTTTAACACCATGTTCAGGTGTTGAGTTTCCCTCCTAAGGTCTGTGGCCTGCTATAGAAATCACTCATGTATATCATGCTTTTAATGTATTGAAGAAAATGCACAAACTCCATTGGGTCTGAAAGACAAGGCTCAGTACACATCCCTACTTTGTAAGTTTCATTTTTCTTGATTTTTTATGGGGAAAAAAAAAAAAAAGAATTTGTGTTAACTAAGATTCCAGTTTTTCTGCCAGTATTCTTATAAGCAATTAAAAGCAAAAGCACAAGAATGCCCCTTAATTTGTACTGGCTCATGCACAGCTCATACTGTCATCTCAGATGATAAAAATGTGAAAGAGCATGGAAAAAACTATTCTTCTATAATGAAAGAGTAAAAAAAGGCATTGTTTTTTTGTTAATGATGTTGAAAGTCAAATCCAAACATGAACAACTTCTTATTGCTACATGAGAGTACTATAAAGCTTACTATTGCAAGAGTCATTATAGAGTGATGGTATTGTGTGTAGCTGCTACAATCAACGTGGTATTCATATGATGCCATGAAAACATTTGCCTGGGAAGACCAGAGTGTGGAACTTTTGTAGATTGCAACAAACCTGGTAGTCCTGATGATCCATCGTGTTAGTTTTAATAAAAAGAATGATGATTAAGAGATGAGGGAGAGGAGTGGTGCTTTTGGGAAAGGAGTCTGCTGTTGCAAAGAAAAAGCCTAGAGGTTTTGGAAAAGCAACACAATGTTAGAGGCTGTTTGCTTTGAAGCTTTGGATTTGGGGTTTTTATCTGTTACTGCTTGAAACATATATACTTAAAAGAAACCTCTTTACAGTTCCCAAAAGCACGCTCTTGTTCTATCTTTAGTTAAATGTATTTGAGGAAAAGTTAATCTTTTTGAAGCAATTCAAAATCATCTTTTGGTTCCTTCTCCTTAGAAGCCTGCACTATTCTCTTGGTAGCTCATTAGGCATGCAAGTATCTGTGCTCCAGCTGTATCCCACCTTACAGTGGAGAGCCTGGCACATAAAGTTCTCATAAAGTGAAATTCCCCAGCTGAGCCATTCAGGATCCTTGGCTTTTAGAAGAAATATTTATACATTGGGCTGGTATCTCCAGTCTATTTAAGATTCCTGGAGTGGAAATCAGAGAATCACCGGTAGTTGTGACTGTGTAGGGGCTGTCAATAAAGTAAAACTGAAGTGTTTGCCTGCATGCCTTGAGAGCCTGGCTCATCCTGGAGAGCCTACTGTTTTACTGGGCTCTTTATGTATTGTGTTCCTGGGAGAGAGGAAAGTAGTCATGTTCATCCTTTCAGAAATGTCTGAGAGCAGAGATTTTGTGTCCTTTTGCAAATAAATGGTCTAGGCTGGAAATTATAGGCCTCTTTGGCCCTTAGCCAGGTTAAACTGTGTATGCATACCTTAACATCAACCATCATCTTGGACACCAACAGCTCCTGATGTTAAAAAAGAAAAAAAAAAAGGGGGGGGGGGGGGAACGGAATAAATCTTGTTCTCAGTTTAATAAAACACAGATGGGAAAAGCAAACCAAACAGAGAGTTAACAGCTCTATTCACTGGTCTCCTGGGCTCCATGAGATTAAATCAGAGTTGGAGGGTATGTTCCTGCTGCTGCTGTTCTGGCCAGTGTCCGTAGGGGTGATGGCCAGCAAAGGAGAAGTGCTCTGTCAGTGCTGTATGTCATTTATCAAGCTGAGAAAAAACAGTCATCTCACTGAACAGCAAGACTTCTGGCTATCCGCAGTCCCAGCAAATATGCTCCAGCTCTGCAGCATGACACCCATGCTGCAGGAATTTTGCTCAGCCATGGGAACAGACTTTCAAACTGCCTCCCAGATCCACAGCTCAAACTTAAAATGTTGATCTTACTAATGCTTTCTGTTCTTTACAACCCCATCCTTTTGTTTCACTCCAATTCAGAGGTACAGAACCATCGAACCTCAGTACCTCCAAAAACTGTGCATTACTATACTACATACAGATTGAGACTTTTTTTTTTTTTTTTTTTTTCCTTTTTCAGGTATTCATTAACATTTGTTGAGGGATCAGAAGATCTGCCTTAAAGGAGGGAGACAGGTTACACATTCAGTTACAAAGATCAGACTTTTTCCATGTCTTTTATAATCTGGAAGATATTACATTAGCTCCTGTAGTACAGACTGACATAGATAGATTGATTTAAACTTATATGTTCTATGAAATTTTCGACCCAGAGCAGGGAAATTGTTATCTGTTTTTGTCTGTTAGAACTCCTTTTTTTTTTTTTTTTTTTAAATTCCTTTTAAGATACTTTCCATATCACAAGAGACAAGTAAAGATAGAATTAATGTGCCTGGGTTGCCTATTCTGTCATTAAAGTTCCTTAAAAAGGTCCAGTAGCCATTTTCCTGCACATTTTTATCCATTCTCAATGTTTTTCACATTCTGAGCTTCAATCTGTTGTTTCTGTATGATGGCCCATTTGTCCACTTTGGTTAATTTCCAGGACAGATTTAATCCTTCTAAAGAAAGGGAAAGGATACCTCTTTTTTCCTGCAGCTGTGCCGAAAATCTCTCACAGCACATCTTTAGAAGTATGTTTTCTTTCAAAGTCTTCTGAGAATAGGTTAACTTGAGCTGTTTTTACTGCAAACTTGTTTTTTTGCTTCTGATTAGCTTTATTTATTTAATCACATTTCTGTGTTTCTGCTATGGTAACAGCAATAGGAGCAGTACCAGCTGACCTGTGCTATAGAAGTCGACTGCTGTTTTGAAATAGCAAGTTTGACGTGTTTGAAGTTTGCCCACTCTTCTCTCTCTCTCTCTCTCTCTCTCCTTTTTCTTTTCTTTTTTTTTTTTTTGATTGGGTCCACTTAATCTATTCAAGAAAAGCATTATTTTGATTTTCTAGGAGAAAGGTAAGGACATGAGTCTGTGTCGGCAGTAAATAAAATTGATCACAAAAATCACATCGATTTACCAAAAAAAATTGTTTCTAAATTCACAGAAAGTCAGAACTAATTATTCATTAGTTGTTACCTTCTTTCTTTGCTGCACAAATGGTTATGTGATTAGCAAACACTGCTATTCAGCAGCCTCCAGGTACACCCCTCAAAACAAACTAATGCAGTAAGGAAGTACTTTGTGGAATAATTGTTTCCGGCTTTTTTTTTTTCCTAAAGATAAAGGTAGAAATGTAAAAACAGTACCACTATCATTAGAGAGAACAGGAGAGGAAGCTCAGCTGAAGCACTTTAACTGGAATTGGACTGATAATTCCCTCAGGACAACTGTGGGTGTCCAGTGTTAGAGAAAGAAACTGCCCAGATGTAGTGTAAGTTTCATGGAGAAGAAGATTGGGATATGTTTTTTGCCTGAATACCCCACAGTGCCTGCCATTTCCATGGCCCACATGGGGCATTTCCTCACACCTTCTGTGGCAATCCTGCATCTACATTCACCAAGAAAACTGTTGGAGGCAAAATGCCCATGCTGGTGATGGAAAGAATGTTCTGGTTAATTCTTGAGCATTTAAAACTCATTATTAACTGATACAGATACGTGCTTGTAACAATTGGCAAGAATGGTGGCCAGCAAAATCTTTAATAAAACTTGAAAAATAAAGAGACAGAAGGAAAAAAGAAAGAAAAAAGAAAGGAGAGGAAAGGAGAAGAGAGGGGAAGGGAAAGGAAGGGAAGGATAAATTTTCTGAGTTATTTTGATGAAAAGAAGAATAAACAAAGAAATAATAAGGTCTGAAGGACTAGGAAAGACAGGCCATAAGAATGATAAAAAGGAACCAGCCCTTGTTCAGTATCAAATTTCTAGGGCCTGAATATACAGGGAATTAACTGCTGCGATTGTTCTTGGG